GCCGCTGTTTATGTATCGTGGCCGTTCCGGTGCAGGGCGTGCCCGTCGCGGTCGGGGTCGCCCTTGTCCGTCTTCGGTCCGTAGAGATCGGCCCGGGCCGTGCTCTCGGGCAGCACATCGCAGTGCGTCTCGTGACCGTCACGGGGCCGGGGCCAACATTTTTTCTGGGTGCTCACGATGACGCGCTGGGTCGGGGCGGCGACGGCGTCAGGGGCGTCGGGCGACCAGCCGGCGAGGACGCGGGCGTCGGCGGCGGCGTTCTGGGCGAGGAAGCGCTCGATGAGGACGCGCGGTGGCAGCTGAAACCAGACGTCGTAGGCGTCAACGATGAGGACGAGATCGTCGGGCCGCAGCCGCTCCGCGGGGCGGGGCCTCTTCGTCCGAGGCAAGGGCCTCGAGGGCGTCGAGCGTGCCGTCGATCTTGCCGAGGTGCGAGCCGCCGAACCAGCCGCCCTGCTTGTGGAAGTCGCGGCCCCAGTTGATGATGAGCGGTGCCGGATAGCCGTTGGCGACGGTTGACAGGAGCATCTTACAGAGGTTGGCGCCCGGCTCGTCGGCCGGCACGATGATGCGCAGTCGGCGGTTGTGCGGGTCGGTGTCATCGGCGGCTGGGGGTGTCGGCACCACGGGTCGGCTCTGCTTGATGTTAGTGCATGTCTCTAACCGTCATGTTTTATCATCGGGGCGACATGGTGGGGATACGCCAGGGCGACTTACGCCGGCGACGGCGAGGAGCGTGAGGATGACGAGACTGCCCACCGTGGCGATGACCGTCTTGAGCGACCACCGACCGAGACCGCATGGCAGGCAGCGTCCGAGACTTCGTGATAATGGAACTTGTCGGCCGCTGTAGTCTGATTCGTTGAAGGCCTCCCAGTCGTCGCCTTCACCGCTCCTCGACTGTAAACCTCGAACAACACGCCAAACCCCGACATCGACCAACCAGCACAGCCATGAATGCAGCTTCGTTGTATTGCGGCGGGCAAGAAATGAAGCAAATACGTGTTGTTTTTTTCTCAGTCCTCGGCAAGGAGCCGCGCCGCCCTGGTGGCGAAGAAAAGACTGCCGACGTCTCGGCAAGAGACGATGAAAAGGACAGAATAGCAGAGCTGACGAAGCGGAGGGGGATGCGCCTATGCCTTCGAAGCGTTCTCGATGAACAAACCGCGGCCGTATACACCTTGCGGTTGACGTTGGTCGCCTCCTTGAACTGATCGCACAGGCCTGAGACAGGAGGGTCTCTGGCGCCGGAACTGAACTCACAGGCCGCTATCGGTCTCAAGCAGAAGTCATCAAGAAAAGGAGAGAGATGTTACAAAAGGAACGAGGGTGGGGAGGAAAGTCAGGAGACACGCAAGCCACGCGAGAACAGCGGGAGGACAGAAGCAGGATGTGTAAGATGCATGACTGTCGAGGAGGCAGCTTTTCCAGAGCTGCCGCCCAGCGAATGTAAAGTCTCCATACCAAGGCGGCGGCAGCAGAAGCAGCAGCAACGACGGCGAGTGGGCTCTCTTTGTCGAATCGCCGCTTCACTTGGCCAAGGACGAGTGATCGCCAGCAGCCCTCGGCAGCTTCGGCGGGGGGTGGTAGACGAGTTCCTACCGCCGGCATGTCAAAGCACCACCATAGACATGGAGAGAACAGTTGCTGGGCGCAGCGCCAGGCGCCGTGTCAGCCGCTTCCATCGTCAGCCCAGCAAAGCAGTCGGCCAGGGGTTGAACTTGGCAAGACGAGGGGGGTGAAACCGAGTCGTGGGTGGGAAAAATGCGAGTGTGGCATCAGCGATATGGTAGGCGTCGACGATGCAGGGGAGGCTTGGATTTCTCGGTGGGCAGAAAAAGAGACCCCCTGCTTCTTCTTGGGCCGCTACCCAAGCACCTGTTAGTCGTGTTGGAAGCAGGTTCGGCGAGAATCCCATGTCTCATCTCGCCATGGGATAGGCAAATTTTGTGCTGAGATTCGCTGCTGATGTCGCGGCTATGGCTGCATGGCGTTTTTCTATTCGGGCGGCACTTCAACTCGGGGATTAGGTTTGCGGCTGACGACTCATGACCAGTATTTGTATTTCCTGTGATGTCGAAATCTTTTGACACAGAGATCAACAGATCAATAGCAGACTACATCCTACTTCATGGACCCCCTCGGATGGTGTTGCCGTGGGTTGGGGTTGCCAAGCTGCCGGAACCTGGTAAAAGAGAGGAGACATTTGCAGGCTCGTTCGTCCGCTAGAGCCATGGTCTCCAGTGTTTGCTCGCTGTGGAGAAAAGGGGGCATCGAAAGAGGAGACGAGGGCAGAGAAGAACAGAGCTGCGTTTGCAGGCTTGCAGCGATCAACAATCCAAGATTTGATTTGGTTCCTGGATCTGGGTTCTACCGTCTCTTCTGTCGCCCATGGCGTGAACGTAGCGCAGCCCATTTTGTGGCTTCGCCGTTTCAACAGTCGTAAGCTGGAAACCCATGAAGCCGTGAACTGCCTGAACCGGTTGATGCATGTCATCGTCGTAGTCATCGCAGGAATGCCGAAATGATCGATGGCGAGTCAACAAAGGATCAAATGACGTCGCCGTTTCTTGGTTCTCGCGTGCCCAGTCTTGGATGCAGTCAGAACAGTTGACCCCCTCACCCCATCCCGACCATCCTCAAGCGAGGCATCGTGGTATCGAACCAGCCGTCGGAGACCAGGACTGCACGTGGGGGTCAAAGCCCAGCGGCTGCTCTGTTGCAAGATTCGGGCCAAGGAATCCCCCCTTGTCCTGGTCGTTCAACAGACTTCCGGCACGTCCTTTTGCACCCCCCAGGGCGTCAGGAGACTGGCGTGCTCCATGGAAGTGCTAAACCAGTTGTAATCTCCATGTTAAAATAGCGGTGCTCCGCACACAAGGACCCTGATCTACCAGCATGGGTGGTTTGCTCATCGTCTCCATCCAATTCTCCTCTCACGAGGATTCTGTGAGTTGCCGTAAGGGATCAAGGTGCACTGCAAAAGGGTGGTTCATGTTGTCAGTCAGATTAACAGACGCCTGATCGAAAGTGACACAACGATTTCTTCTCTCGTCGTCGACCCTTTCATCTCTAGTCTGTCTACCTTCGCGTGGCCCACCTCAAACCCATGTGCTTTTTCCCACGCCACGAAGCCAGCCATGACCTGCTTGGCTGCCGTGAGAGGCATGCCATATCTCCGGGGGAAATGGTCTTCTCAAACGAGTCGAGAGATAGTGCTGAGCGGAAATCATGTCCAATGTATTGGGTCGTAGCGCCGTTGATCGCCATGGTCCCCCCATGCCGTGCGCAAGCAGGCTCGTGGGGGGTGCTCGGTTCAGGGTCTGATCTCTGTATCTTGTTCTTTCTTTTTCAGCCTGTGGGATCTGTCTTGCTGAGCGACAGCTGCGACAACGGAGCGAGCGCCCCCAGATGAACATCATGTCCGTTCATGGCTGGACTGAACACCACAGCGCAAGCCACAGCCAGGTTTCCAGGAACATGCCCAAGGGGGGCCCGCCCACCCTTCAAATGAGATGAGATACCTAGAGCTTCTCCTTCGCCTTCTCCCTTGCCAGCCATGGCGACCCAGAGCGACTCGCACGTCCGCCACGACATTGCCCTCGGCGTCCCGGATCTCGCCGCGCAGCAGCATCTTGCGCCCGGTGATGGACGCGATGGTGCCGACGCCCAGCACGACGCTTGGCGTCGCGATGGGCCGCAGGTACCGCACGTCCATGGTCGCCGTCGCGGGCTTCATCGTGAAGATGGCGTCGCCGCGCCCGAGGTCCCGGTTGCGCTCACCCAGCATACCGAGCAGCTCGTCAAAGAGCAGCGCCGTCACGCCGCCGTGCAGCACGGCCGGGTAGCCTGCCATGCCGGGGCCGAGGGCGAAGAGGACCGAGACTTGCGGGATCGCGGGGCTGCGGGCGCTGCCCTCTGCTGCTGGTGCCGCTGGTGCCGGTGTCGGTGCCAGTGCCGGTGCCGCTTCGGCGGGTGTTGCGTAGAAGGCCAGACAGGCGGGGATGCGCTCGGCGTGGTCGAGCGTCTTGCCGAAGAAGCGGTCGTGGCGGTTGGGTTTGCCTTCTTCCAGGGGATCGCGGCTCGGTGGCACGTAGACTGTCGTGTTGGGCGCTGTCAGGAGGGCGTTGCACCAAGGGATCTTGTGAAAGTCAACGCCATTCTGCGACAGCGTCGCACCCTGCGCGGGTTCTTTGCGGGATGCCATGATCAGGAGAAGCGCTGGTAGATGATACCCTGGTTGCAATGTCGAGTCTGTCCTGGGCTAGATGAACGCACGGGGACTGCAGGCCCTTGGTCAAGGCAGCACGTTCAGTCGCTGAAGGGGTGGCTTGGGATTGAGTGCATCACCTCTGCACGTGTCCTCGGTATATGATGTTCGCAACCGCTTGATAGATGTGTTGTTGACATGGCCGCGAGCCATAGTGCTGGTCAAGTGAGCTGGGCCTCGGCACGTAACCCCGCGGCGGTAGTGGAGACGGCACCAGAGTCACCAGCTGGTAACTCTTGCCCATGTCTCTTTCTTTCAGGCCAGGCCTTGCTTTTCCTGCGCGTCAGTCAAGTCTGAGGGCCTATGCCTAGCTATGCTTCATGATGCTCTGGTATCTGTGTTCGTGTTACAACTATTGTCTTGCCACACCAGCTATGTGTAAGGATTTTCGTGACACAGGTTGACAGGCTCTGTCAGATGGGTGGGTATAACACCATTCTCATATTCTCCGTGCTGGCGATTCGCCGTCAGCCCTTTCCGCGTATTGGAGACGCCATCTGCGAAGTATGCAAGGAACTCTGAATAAGAAGTTTTACTAAGGTACCTACACAAGAATAAATGAGGGACTAGCTATCACAGCAAACGAATGATGGCGGATCCGGCGCAAGATTTAGATGAATCGTTGACAGCTGCTCGGACACCGCGGGGTCCGGCGACGCGCTACTGGGTGCCGTCCATGATGACCTGTCAAGTAGCCATGCCTTGGAGTGCACTGGTATGTTAGCTGCTCCACAGCTCTATGTTCCATAGGGCTGACCTTTTCGAGATGACCTGTCGGATTTCAGGTGCAATGGGCGTAGTTAATTCGAGCACGGCATGAACCCTTTTGCAGTCATTGCTCTATTCCGATATGTCTCATCGCATGCCGGTGATAGGCCTACTGACATATGTTTTGAAGCCATCGACCGCAACAGTACCGGCGACAGTCAATTATCGACACGAGCGCTACCAGTGGCGCCAAGGTGGGCTATGAACCACCGCGCCACCCACGCCTTCCGACGGCCGGGACTAAATGCTGGGTTTATTCTGAGCGCCGCCGGCCAAAATTGGTCGATACGAGTTTTCAAGACCAAAGTGACAGGATGCCCACTCTATAAACTAAATTCAGCACATGGCAAGGCTGTGTCTTCGTGAGGCGTACAAAGCTGGTCGTAATGACCAGGAGCCAGAATTGCAACCTTACTAAATCGATCCGCCTCTTCTCTTGAATTGACGCTGCATAAGGTGCCTGGACTATCTTATTAGATCGAAGACAACCCACTGATGAAGTCCTCAATCATTTGTCTTACTTGAGGACCTGGGCTTCCACCGGATGCTTCATCCAACGCCAAAGAAATACACTTTCTTCACCTTCATTTAATCAATTGTGCCGAGCAGTCATGAGTTCGGAGCAACAACCGCCCATCGTCGAGGCCGACCCGCGCGGTGACCTCACGCTCAATGTGGGCAACCCGAGCGATGATCCGTCTTCGTCACGATGCTTCCTTGTTTGCTCCCGAACCCTCGCCAGGATCTCACCTGTCTTCGACCGCATGCTCTACGGCGCCTTTGTCGAGTCCAGGGGCAAGCACACAGCTGAGGCAGCTTGGACCGTAGATCTCCCCGAAGACCCCCCCTTTGCATTCAATATTTTCGTCACGATATCCCACGGCTTTGTTCACAAAGTCCCCCGTTCGCTATCCCTCGATGAGCTCTACGACCTCACTGTGTTGACACACTACTACGACGTCACTCACATCCTCGCCCCTTGGGCCTCCAGATGGATCGCCTCCCTTCACGACCCCAACCCGGGCTCTCCTATCCTTCTCGCAAAGCTTCTATGGATCAGCTGGGAGCTCGGCCGCGGCCCTCTCTTTGAGTCCACCGCACGGCGAATCCTCACAGAAGCCCCCGGCTCTCTCCTCGACCCTGATTCCCCTTTACACACTCTTCGAATGCCTCCTGACATTTTCGGTAAGCTCGAATGCGCTGCGTCATTGCTGAAAAGCGCCCAGCCCGTCGTAACACTCCCGCTTCTTCCGTAGAGGCTTGAGCTGACATGCCTTTCCCCTCGTCGCTCGACACAGAACGCATAACAGCCATCCGCAAGCAGACCATCCAGGCCATGCTCGACGTCTTCTACGACCTGGCTGAACATCTCGTGACGGTCGACGAGAAGCCGCGGCTGTGTCGCCACGCGTCATACATGGGGCCCCATCGATGCGAGTCCATGATCCTCGGGTCTCTGACGTTCTGTCTCACGCGCGCCGGGCTCTGGCCGCTGCCGGAGGCCACGGAGGTGGATCACAGCATCTCCGCGCTCTATGAGATCATGGCCAACCTCGTCATCCACGATATCGGTCAGCCTATTAGGGGAGATGCGGACCACAGTAGCTGCAACCCGAGGACGGACATTATGAAGAGGATCAAGGGCATTTTGAGGGAGATGCCGAATCCGGTATTGGACTCCCACGTCAAGGAGCTGGATAAAAAGATGACCATAATTAGTCTTTGAGAAGGTCATTCGGCATCCCGAGAGCACTCCGCTTGCATGCCTGGTCTTTGTGAATGATCCTCAGCCGCGCTGCGACATTTTTCAAGAGTCTTTGTGCGTTGGCTCGGTCTGACTTTTGCTATTGGGGCATGAACTTCAAGTGAGCCTCACCCAGATATCCGCATCATTACTGTAGGCGTTGTTCCGGCGATACCGTGCGCAGTAGACAGGCATCGGAGTAACACTAATTACCACTACATTGTCGCAAAAACAAAACTATATAAAGAGCCCGCGTTTGTCTTCAATCAAATTTCTATTCCTCGACATACGGCTCCTTTCATCTACCCCCACGTTAATTCAGGTGATTGCCCAATCTGTCTGCACCTCATATGTTAAGCCTTCCTATTTGAGAAGCCCGAATAGTGGAAGAGATATGACCTCTGTTGATGGAGACGCCCATTCCTTGTGGATCAAGTATGGGAGCCCTTGGCCCTTGAGAGATTGCCGCGTCACGAGAAGTCAGAGAACCCGAACACACGCCATCCGTGCGGACAATGGGGTATCCCTACTTCCCTCAAGATGCGAAAAGGCCAGCCAGAGCGTTACTCAGACTCGAGATCTCCAGCGGGAAATACCTGGATGGCATGGGTGTCTACCTATCAGAAGGGATCCTACACTCATTTGTATCAGCAACAGTCACTGCCAGCTACCCCCCAATTCGAGGGCCAGAGCATTGAGGCGTGAAAAGTATAAATACTGCTCCAAGAGTGTGGCCAAATTACTATGTGTCTCCTCCGGGGAGCCTGCCCAAGGCCTATCATCTGTTGTAGGTGACCTAGGTCCTCTTTGTACCCTACCCAGACCTGGGCTGTGAGGTGGTAGGCCGTTATTCGCTAAGGTCTTAGTCTTCCAGGTAGATCCAGGTAGACAACCGGTCTAGATCGCTATGTAAAGTTCGCCTATCTTGCATAGAGCGGTAGCGAAGCCTTCAAAGGAATGCCAGTTGGGCTAGCGGGTTCATGGCCATATGGTGCCCTTGTGCCTTTTTTTCGCATGAACCATACGAGGCCCCAGCCCGAGCTTCACATGAAGAGCCTTCATTTTGTGATATGTGGCAAGCTATTCTTCGAAGCTCATAGTAGCCTCAGGTACAGATCTATTTGCAGACGGCTGCATCCGGCCTTGGAAGTCATCATTTTGATAACGCCAGCCTCACATCAGTTCTGGCACGCATACGATTGGGTAGCCTGGGCACTGACAGATCTATAAACAAGCCACTACCGTACTTGAAGTCCTTGGGCGCACAGTACCTCTCGTTCACGAAGAACGATACAATGGCTGCCAAACGCCGTGCCTTTCTGATCGCCTCAACGTCAACGTCTGAGTCAGAGGCGCCTACAAAGATCAAGAGGCGGCCATAGCCGGGCATTTCCCTGTCACCGGCCATATCTCTCTCAAGCCATTCATGGCTTCAACGTTATGCAGCCGATGACAGGAACGCCCACGGCTTGTCGCGCCACAGAGCACCATGGCACAACCTAGGGCTTTCAACACTCCGTCGGCGCGCTGGCACAAGTCTTGGCCCCGACTGCAAGATGCACAGCAGACAGAACGTTAGCGTCAAAAGGTTCGCAACCTGCAGAGTCGAAAGAACACTTCCTTCACAAGGTCACAAAACAGTCTCCCGAAAGGCCCGAAAACGGAGTGTTGCAGGCCAAAAAGAGAACAGATTGATGAGGACGAGACTCGAACTCGCGCGGGTTGCCCCACCAGGAAATCTGTTAAGGAGACCTTAACCTGGCGCCATAACCAACTCGGCCACCTCACCGGTGCTTGATGAGAGCCGGTTCGGGAGTAGGGATGAAGATGGGCAGGAGAGTGGAGGGAAAGGAGAAAAAAATCGAATCGCGCGGTTGTGGGCAGCGTGTGAGAATATCGCGCAGGTATGGGGCAAGTGGGTGGTGCGGAGACGGACGCCATCCGGGTGTGGAGAGTTTTCAAGCTACAACTCAGGCGTCAGGGGTTGGCCCAGTCCAACACTTTTTACAACGCACTGGACCATTGATTGGCAGAGGGTGACAATCAGAATTAGGGGTATCAAGACCACGCGGTCGTTCATCGTACTAGGTATCTAATCATGTCTCGCGAGAAGAGGTCGTAAACTCGTAGCGTATGCCGCGGCAGCAGCGAGGTATCCAAGAAAGAAAAACGGGATGACAAAAGGGTAAAAGTTGAAGGAGCGTTTGAAAATCAATGAAAAAGGCCGCACATCCATAGGGCTTCACGACCCAGTGGCATCGGCATGTCCACCACTGAGCACGGCCTTGACCCGTCTCGGATCTTCAACAAACTCGAGAGCCTGTTCCCTCTTGGTCTTCTGCGCCCGTCCCGCGTAGTCGGAGCGATCAAGATCGTCAAGGTCGCTGCCAACCGAGCTCAGCGAGCTCATGGAGCTCGAGCTCGGGCTCCGGTTCATGACCATGTTGACCCGCTGTCCGGCGGCCTTCTTGTACTCGACCTGCTGCTTCTTCATGGAGACGAGGCGCTCGTCGGCGCAGTGCATCGCGACGACGCCGAGGCCGGGAAAATTATGTTCAAGAAAGTCGCGCAGCAGCGGCAGCACCGACTCGTCAGGCCGGTACGTGCCCGAGTCGTTGTCGATGATGAGTTGGTAGTATGCCGGGTCGTCGGGCGGGGGCTCGGTTGGTGGACCCCCGGGTATGTCTTTCGCTGGGTGCGTGTTTTCCGCGGGCTCGGGATCCGACGAAGCCGATGGTCGGTCGAGGCGACGGATGAAGAATTCGCCCGAGCAGGCAATGTAGGTCGCGACATCGCTGTGCATTGTGTGCTTGCTCAGCATGTCGATGCTGAATTCGCTGCCCGTCTCGGTGAAGCGGAACATGCCGTCGAGGGTCAACACATATGTGAAGATGCGACCGCCCTCGTCAAAGTGAGCGAGGCGGAGGAACTGCTGCGAGGCTTCCTCGGAGCAAGGCGCAAAGGTCCCAGCCTCGGTCGTCGGACTGAAGTTGTAGACGCGGCGGTGCTGTTTGTGGAGCGCCTTGTTGAGGATGCGGCCGCGGAGGCCCTTGCCAGCGAACATGAGAGCGATCGAGGGGCGAAACTCGACGTAGCGGTGGTACAACTCGGAGGGGACGGGGCCTGAGAGATGCATCTCGTTGGATTGAAAGCTGGGTTTTGTTAGTGGGTGTCGAGACGGAAGTCTGACAGGGTGATGATGCTCACTCGTATTTCTGCATCTTCTTGGGCTCGGGTTCCTCTTCCGAGTGCTCCTTTCTGAGGTCGTCCTGGTTGTCCTTGTTGACTTTGGTCCCTGTCAGGCGTCCGATGGTAGGGCTGAAATGCTTAAAGTAGATAGAGGGCCCGATGGTGTACATCTGGGCGTGAGGCGGGTTAGACCGACCGATCACCTGCATGCTGACCCAGAGACTCGGCGTCATGTCGACGTGGGGATCAAAACGGCTCGTGATGGCCTTGAAAAAGTAGGCTCGCTTGCTACCCATGCGCTTCTTGGCCTTGAACTCACGCCCTGGCGGCGGGATCCCGGCCCAGTCTTCGCTGACATGGTTGACCTTGATCGTCACGTTACCGAGACGGTCGTCCGAGTCGGGGTAGTCCTCGTCATAGATGCGACACTTGAGGGTGAAGCCGGCGGCTGGGATGTTGGCAACGATCCATTCCTCATCCCAGACGGGTTCGGTCGTGCGGCGCATGGTCCGGGTGCGGCGATACAGGTCGGGGTCCTCGCTGTGTCGTTTCGGTACAGGTGCCTTGAGGGTGGCATGGACAAAGGGGTCGGATGATTGCGTCTTGAGATCGGCAGCAGGCAGGTTGGATGCACGGTGGAAGATGAAGCGAACGGTGAAGCCTGGAGGAGCATCGGGCAGAGGTGTCGGGTCGAAGCCGCCGGGCGGGGCGTCCTTCAAGTTCTCCTTCAATTTCTTCTTGTGCTCCGCCAGGGCAATTTTGAGGTCGCCAGAATGGTGATGTGGCTTTTGCTGAGGGGCTTTGTGGCCGGTCGCCTGGGGATTGGCTTTGCTCTGGACGTGGTCTTCGAGGGCGCCGCTCGGGGCCGGCCCATGGGGCGTGCCGTCTCCATGTGGTATGCGATGAACGTTATCAGCACGGTCGTCTTTTGTTTCGGAAGCGATGCGTGATGATGGTGCCTGATTCTCGGTGTCTTGGTTCGTCACGTTGTCTGAGGAATGCGGTGTTCGTGTTTCCTCTCCATTCGTCGTTGCTTCCTCGACGACAGCGACGGGGTGGGGACCGTCGGGCCCGTTCGCTCGTGTCTCGCCGGCCATTTTCCTCCACTCTTTCGTTCCGATCCGTTCGGCGTCGGGACCCTGCCTGCAGGCGCCAGATGACGAAGGAGATCTCCGCGGAGCAGATTGACCGGGCCGTGGGCGGGGTTGTCGTAGAGGGAACGCGGCGGCGATGCGCGGTCGCACAAAGCGCGAACTCTAGCGTAGAAGTGGGACGAGATGGGCTCTTGGCTTGGGGGGGTGCTTGGGACTTAGGTAAGCAGGTCCAAGTCAGTCATCAGAGCAAGTTGGGGTATCAAGATGGGCAATGAGCCTCTGCGAACGCTCCGAGGAGAAGAGCAAGACGGTTCCATATGAATGCTTCGCCATGACCGAAAAGTAAAATAAAAGAGGTCGATTCATTACACGCCGCCTGCTAGCCGCGCAGTCTCGACCATGTGCCCTGCGACCTTGAAGGGGTGCCGCGCTGCCGAAGTGGAGCAAAGGCGTCGCAATCCCCCCAAGCCGCTTGCCGAGAATCTGACGTCATTTGCATTGGCGTCTGGTGACAGCTCCCGCCATGGGCGTATCTTCAGGCAGTGGATGCAGTGGGTGGTGTCAGAAGCTGTCCACTGGTCTAAGAGCCCCCCTCGTCGAAAGATCTTGCCCTGTGATGCCCCGTGACTTCGCTTCAGGAAACTCTCCACGGCAGTCCTCATCTGCACCACGTCCACATCGACCTACCTCCCTCGTCAGCCCTGCCAGCCACTCGGCTACATCGAGTCACGTTGGTGCGTCGCCCTGCCGCCAGAGCCGTTCATTGCTACCCTTGTCTTTCGGGAATAATCACCACTAGCTTCTTAATCGCTGCATGGGATCTGTCGATCGGTACACCTGCCGCCATAGCGAACAGCCTGCCTTGTACCCCAGCCGTCAACTGTCAGGTGCAAAAAAAAAAAAAAAAAAATACGTTCCAGTGGCTGGCCTTGGGATCCTTGGAACAAGCCTCGCTGCCGGGCTGGGCCCTCGTACTCACCCGTTCATCCCTCACCCAGCGTCACTGCGGTCCACACCTTCCCCACGATGCCACGCGTACTCAATACAGCAGGCGAGCATAGCTTTCCAAGATGAGTTGCGTGAAGCTGACACAGGCAGCACAGCATGGTATGCACGCCTGAACACTGTCTTACCTGCTTCCTCCAATACCCTGCCATGGCTGTCGCCCTACGAGCCTTGGCTGATCCGTCTTGCCCAGCAATACTTGTCGATCTCGCAAGGTCAAATGTCAGTCGATCCCCAGGAGCCTCCGGCTGCGAGAGCCGAACCGCTGATCGTTGGACCCAGGCGATGAACGACAACCCATCTGTCAGCGATGCTCTATCGCCGGCCGCTACTGCGAGCGAACTGCACGCCCAACTCGCCAGTCTCTTCCCGACAGGAGAGACCGTGGGCATGGGGACGCAGTCGCGAGTAGGTTTTCGAGTTGGAGAGCCCGTCTTGCATTTAGAATCTAACCACGGCCAGGCCCCAGTCCGAAATGGCCATCACCGGACAATCCTCGCAAGGCGCTCGCGTCGCCAGACATCGCCCGTATCTTCCACCACTACATCATCGAGATAGCCCCGTGGTATGACCTCAGCGATCCGGCGTCCAGCTTTGCTACGAGACTTCCTCGGCTCGCATTGGAGATGCCCCTGCCGTTCAGCGCCATCATCGCCCAGGCGGCCATGCAGATCTGCCAAACCACGGCGCCGAGCCAACGAACAGTTGCTGAATTCTACCACGGCCATTGCGTTCGGCTCCTCATCGAGCTGCGTGACGACTGTGGCTCGGTCGAGTCCGAAGCTGCCCTGGCCGCTGTGTGTCTCCTGCGGTCGTACGAGATTCTCGACGGTAAGTGCTGGACGTTGCCTGTCAAGCTGGGCATGGTGGCTGAATGGCAACAGAGGAGGTTGATCCAAACAGACACCTGCACGGGGCCTACTCGCTAGCCTCACGCCAAAAGCTGCTGCTAGACAACGGCTTTCGCACGTTGTCGAGTGCGGGATTCTGGAACTATCTTCGCGAGGACATTACCTACAGCTTGTTCGAGGAGCAGCCCCTGAAGATGGATCTCGAGAACATTCCCATGCCGACGCTGCAGCTGGAGGATCATGACCATCTCAACGCCATATCCCTCGTCCTCGGCCGCATCCTCAACGCCCACTTCAACGACGGCTCTCCCGGCCGAGATCAGCCTGGCCCTGTCTCTGCCATGTTGAACGTGCTGCAATCCTGGCAAAAGGCCCTGCCTCGACATTTTGAGCCGCTGTGTAGGGACAACAGTCGCCCGAGCGGTGGCCTACCTTTGGTTTGGATGCTTGGGGACTGCCATGGTGGGTGACCCTGCAACTTTGCCAAAATCTGGTCTAACATTGTGTAGCTGCTGCACGTCAATACTTCCTGGTATCCATCATAGTGCTCTACATGGTCATGCCACTCGAAACGTTGAACGAGATCCTGCAACTTGTTGAGATCGACCTTCCCTCAAGTCCGTCTCGAGAAGTTATTTTGGAAACCTACGCTCTTGAGGTGTGCGGCTTGGCCTTCACGACAAAGTCAAATCCTGTTCTGGTCAATGCATTCGGGCCCATATCATACTGTGAGCTTGCGTAAGCTCATCAGAGTGCCAGAAGAAAGTACTGACGCCAGTGAAAGGTGCAAGACACATACGCACAGAAGCGTCTCGACAGGAACTCCTGCGTTGCCTGGCCCCTTGCAAGAAGACAGTCGGGTGGCCTGTTCAACGACTGATGGACGACTTGCAGAGTCGGTGGCGCGTGTCCCTGTCATGAAGGTTTCAGGAGAGACTTGCTTCTGGTCAAAGGCTCGTGATTGTAGGGTATGAATTTCGCGGCGAATGTAAGTCCGGGTCCTTTCAAGATCATGAATGGTGGCGTCGAGTCAGAACTTACTTCGGGCTTAGTGTTGCAGGGTTTTCTGGGCGTCTCGTTTCACACGACAGGCGACGACGACATAAGGAGTTCACGAAGATCCGATTGTCAAATATTCGAGATTCTCAAGTATCATAGTGTTGCCGAACTTCGTTGGTTCTGGGGCTTTGTTTCATCGATTGATCATGTTTCGACTCCCAGGATATCGAGCAGCAGGCTAGCTAAGGATGTTGAAAAGCCACGGCTACCCTTGCGGGCCATTCACCTCGATTGGCCATCCCATCGGTAACGCAAAGAGAGAAAGAGACGCTGGATTCCCGAACCATGGAGCTGGCTGTGTGTTACATCCACCGAGAGGGTCTGGTATTTATCGAAGATGTTGTGTCGCAAATGTCATCGACGGTTTGAGCGCCCAGATGACGTACGACGCTCGCATCCGGCAAGCCCATGGTGAAGATGGTCCTTTCGACTACAGCCTGGGCAGCCTCCAGCAGGACCCGCCATCTGTAGCCGAATACACCTTTCCCAGGTCCCTCTCAGCGCCGACGAGGTCACTTTGACGCCGGCTTTGCTCACCCCTCACCCGTTCACTCCCGTCGTCGGTATGACTCCCGCCAGTGACTCGACGCAGATCTGGCTCGGCACCTGTAACGACGAGATTTCCCCCCAGAAAGGTGCCCACGGCGACCGCGAGAGTAATTGCATCAATCAGGACCTTTTCGAGAAGAATCAAGCTACCCATGAACTCTGCCAGTCAGTTGTCAAGTAGGGTGTGTGAAATTGACGCCTCTGGGGCGCAGTGGTGCCCAACCTAAATGAGGACGTCAGGGTCGTGCTGACCATGATACACTTTGCACCTTGATATCGCAACCACATGAGGCTGCAGTTCGCTAAGAATATGCATCCGATACTTGAGGGACGAACTCGGGCGCTCAACGTTCTGGTGGGCTGGGAATGGCTGGACGATATGCCGCCTGACCCTCTTGGTGAGTGTTTGGGAACAGCAATGACTTTGACCAGGTGCTGCGAGAGAGGCGCCATGGGAGAATATCGTCAAACGGTCACATAGAGCATGAATGAAACTACCACATTCATGAGGCTCGAAGCCTGGTGTCTTGTGCTACCAGTGACGGCTAAGTCGGACTGTTCTGTGGCAACCCCTGCGGATACTTTTTACGAGGGGAGTTTGGGCGTGCCAGCAAGGCCATCGATGACTGACCTTCAAAGCCTGCAGACACAACTTTTTTTGCCATCGTAACCTTTAAGACTGTCCTGTCGGAGAAACAGGAAGGGCGTAAATTTATAAAGAGGCCGATGGCCTATCACCTCGACGAACTTCTTCTTTCATCCCTCAGTCACTACCATCGAAACTTGAGTAACCTACTCCCTTCCCACACAAAAGCAATCCCACCACATCGGCTATCGATACACAATCATCACCATGAAGGCCAACACCCTCGTCATCGTGGCCGCCTGCGCCCTCGCCCAGACAGTCGCCGGCGGACCCATCACTCCTCTCTCCAAGGTCGCCAGCGCCACCAACACCACCATCGCCGCCAACACCACGAACACCACCGCCAACACCACAAACACCACCGCCCCTACCACCCTCGACAAGAGCAAGGAACTCCCCTTCCTCACGACCCTCAAGAGCAGCAAGAAGCTGCAGGACTCGATCCTGCCCAAGATTGGCAGCAACATCGACCTCGGCAAGGCCAACACAATGCAGGACCTGATCGGCGAGCTGTCGGACGCCGAGCTCGCCCGCCTCACGTCCGTCTTCGACGAGCAGGACATGGCCCGCCTCACCACCAGCGGCTTCGACGAGGCCGACCTCGCCAAGCTCGCCAGCCTGCCGGCTCTCGCGCCCGCCCCGGCCCCGGCCCCTGCCACCTTTCTTTCGGCTCCCGCGTCCGACAGGGAAAAGTTCGTCAAGGACAGCAGAGACTTCGGCCACGCCCTCGCCGGGATATTCGAGGAAGCCAGCAACGACAAGGAGGAGCAGATCATCTTCGACAACGTCCTCAGCTTCCTCGGCCTCGAGGTCGGCGACGTCTTCGACCTGGCCAAGGTGGAAGGCGCCCTGCTGGAAAAGATGTCGGAGGACGTTGTCGAAGACGTCCCCGGCTATGAGAACGGTCGCGAGGCTGCTGTCGTCAAGAGGGGCGAGCCGAAGGCGAAGAAGGGCGAGGGGAGTAGGTGGACGAGGAAGGGCAAGAACATCTGCCCCTATGACCGTGAGGACTTGACTGGCTGCCAGCGGCCTTCGGCGCACGACGACCACCAGCAGCTCTACGACGACGCTGTAAGGTTCATTGCGCAGTGGGAAAAGGATTACAAGGAGCAGGAGGAAATCACGCAGAGGCTGTTTGAGAAGGAGCAGCGCGAGGAGCGCGAGGCCATGGAGAAGGCCAAGAAGAAGACAGCTTGAACGCTTAGTCCGACTGAGTCGAGCGCGAGTGGCAGCCATCAGGAGGATGCTTGTTTTTGTTTAGGCGGAGCCATCATCCCTGAAGCCTCCGACTGGTGTTCGTAGGAAAAGTCGTAGATTTAGTTTTTATCAGTCACAACAGATCATCAAGGGAGTACTGCCCCAGTGAAGTGGAGATGAAGTGTGGTTTCATTACTATCAACATTCAAACATTTCGTCATTTATTTCTTAGAGGCGTTTACAGGCGGCTCGACGTCTTGACGGCAGGCGCCTTCTTGACATCGAAGCGGTCGAGGTTCGAGACCTTGGTCCACGCCGCGACAAAGTCGTTGACAAACTTCTTCTCGGCGTCGGCACTGCCGTACACTTCGGCAAGGGCGCGCAGCTCGGCGTGGGATCCGAAAACGAGATCCGCACGCGTGGCAGTCCACCTCTTGTCGCCAGTCTTGCGGTCGCTACCCTCGAAAAGCTCGTCGTCGCTGCCGGTAGCCTTCCATGCCGTGCTCATGTCCAGCAGGTTGACAAAGAAGTCGTTGGACAGCTGGCCGGGGCGCTTGGTCAGGACGCCATGCTGGGATCCGTCGTAGTTGGTGTTCAGAACGCGGAGGCCACCAACCAGGGCGGTCAGCTCAGGCGCCGACAGCGTCAGGAGGTGAGCACGGTCAACAAGGAACTGCTCAGTCTTGACGCGGTCGGTCGAGTGGCCGTAGTTGCGGAAGCGTCGGCAAAAGGCTCGAGGTGGCTGACGGACTCAATGTCGGTCTGCTCCTGCGTGGCGTCGCCACGGCCAGGAGTGAAGGGGACGGTGACGCTGTGGCGGCGGCTGAG